ACAACTACCCTGGAAATACTGTAAATATTTTTCATAAAGGGGTAGCTTCTAATGAGAATCTTGCTATTCTACAAATTTGCATGGAGTACTTGAAGGGCTGCTTATTTGAGAAAGGAAATAAATCCACTCTATTTCAATACAGTGACAATGGATTAATTCAAAGTTTTTGTTTTCTACTCATAAGAACCAGGAAGATTTTAAAATAATTTTCCAATTATACTTTGTGATAAAACATTTTGAGACGCTCTGTGGCTCCACGAGCACCTACAAATTCTACATGTTTGAAAACTGCAACCTTAAAAATTTGATAGCGTCCCTCTGATATCAGATAAGCCACAGGTCACTCAGCATAAGACTAAGGATAGAATTCTGAAATATTTACTACCAATTGTAATGTTTATTATGGATGTTGTTTCAGCAAAGTCAGGAAGTTTGATCCCTAGCTCCCTTGGAGAAATTGTACAAACACAGGCACGGTCTTGTGCCCCTCCCCCCAGCAAGAGCATGCTATTAAATTAAAAGAGCATGCATTTAATTCGGAAGTATTTCAGATCTGTTTTAAACTTGGCTGGCTAACAATCAGAAAAGATAACTAACAACTAAATAGCACTTTCTCTGAGCAAAACCATCGTGTTGTTGTGCTAATAATTTCTGAGTCCCTCAGTAGGCTACAGTGATTCATATCTTTCTCTTGCCCAGCAAGTTATTTTGCACTTAAGCACTTGAATTTCTTTTCTTGAATGCAATCTTATTATAATTTTTATATTATAATTTTTTTTTTTTTTTGAGTGCTCAATCTTTGTTAAGGATAGCTAAATTCATGAGCTATCTCCAGTTGAACAATTTAGAGCTGTATTTCTGCATGTAAATTCCTCCTTTCCATTCTGGTATCATCTGTTAATGGCTGTACTTAATTTTCAACCATTGATGGAATGGTTCAGTGGCATAGTAGTTTTAACAGCTTTTTAAAGCAGTCTGTATGCTCCCAGACTGACCATCAGCCACACTCTGAATACAGGGCTGTAAGTGTTCACATTCTAGCAATTTTAGATTTTGACTGTATCTAAGCTGTTTGCTCAGAAGAATGTTGACGTACCCAGCAGCAATAACTTGCTAATATCTATCATTCCTCCTACCCTCAAAGTTAGTTAATTTGTCAAAGAAGGAAACTAGATTAATTTATACTGTTTATTCTTGATATGTCTCTGCTGGTTATTCTTCTTTCACCTTACCGACCTCCAATATTTACAAATTCATGTGTTGTGTTTCACTGCCTTTCAGGCATATTGTCCTCATTAAGCTACACTGACGCTCACATAGTTGATGCTCTTCTGTAGAGCTCACTCAGGTTTGTGTGCTCAGCCTTAGCACTACCCACCTCAGCCATGAATAGCAGCTTCTATTTTAATGCTCTGTATTCTTTTTTTTTTTTTTTTTTTTTTTTTTTTTTTTTTTTTTTTTTTTGGGGGGGGGGGGGGGGGTGGTTCTTCCTCCCTTCCTCCCTCTCATATAACAATCCTCCAAAAGGTGGAATGTTGTACAGTAAAGCCTGGAGAACACAAAAGTTGGTTTAGGCTGCTGACTGAGTTTTCTGATATGGCTGCAGCAAAACTTTTGTTCTTCCACTGACGAATGTCTGTAATTGCTTTCCTTCACGTCTTCCTGTTACAACTTTTTCCAAACTTTCACCTGTGTGGGAATATTTTCCTTGTTGGCTTTGAAAGGTCCTTCTGCAGGCAACTGGGGAAGCCACAGGGCTCTTTGTGAAGGCCAGGTTTGTGTTCCAGGAATAATGCTATCTTGGGTCTGATTAGAGGCCTCACCCTCAGACAGAGTAAGGACTGGGGAGCTCTCCCGTTAAAGAATTTGGATTACAAAAGGAGAGTTGTGATGTGCTGGGAGAGGAGTCGTTCAGGAAAATCAATCCAAGTGAATGAAAGGTATGCTTCAAAGGTAGGCATGGTAGAAATCAATGAGCCCCCCAAAGAGGAATAAAAATTGATTTTCTTTGGACTTTAGTATATGCCTGTTTGAAAACAAAGTATATTAAATTAAGACCAGCCTAGATTTTGAATTTGCTATGCACAGAGCAGTTCGGAAACATTTAATACTTTAAACATTGACTCAGGTTTTCAGAAAATCACTGTATAAAAATGGTTTATTATTTCTTCTACTTCTGTCCTCGGCAACACTCGGTATGCTGTTGGTACTTGAAAGAAATAATGAATAGTACTGAATGGCTACATTAGCGTTCTCTGTATTTTCTCTGCCTGGAGTTGTAAGATAAAGGATTTTAGTACAGGCATGAAAGCAGTATTTTAGATTACATTTTTAATTTTTTTTCCTTCCTGTTGCCTGCTAGAAAGTTGCAAAATCCTTCCTAAATCCCTTGTAAAGACCTAAAACAATCAACAGGAAAAAAGAGTAGGAAGCATTCATACACAGAAGCTGACATCTTCCTTTACAGTCACTGAATTCTTTCCACATCAGCTAAACCTAGAGCATCCCTGCATCTCAGTGAGTCCAGCATGTGAAAGCCGCACAACAATCACATTTCATGAACAAATGGATCAAAAAAATAGAGCAGTGTTTTTAGTAGATGCATACATTCTAGACATTTTCATTTTGGCTCACGTTCTACAGCAAGAGAAGTCAGGAATAAGTTTACTGGCTTCCACCTGGGCAGATTAACCTGGATCTAGGAGAGTGTTTCCGAAGAGAGAATTTGTCTTCTTGGTAACCAGGAACGGGAAAGCCTCTTGTGGGGATTGTGCAGCAGAGACCCCAGGAATTAAGAGCCTCAGCTGGACACAGCCATAGGAAAGGAACTAGAGACTCCCTGGAGCATTTACACAACACACCTTGCTAGAGGCTTCATCATCCATCCCTGCTGGGGACTGAAAGATAAAGTACTTTCACCTATTGCTGAGGTCTCAGGACATGTTGTAAATCACATGGAGCTGCATGCACAAGGAAGGAAAATTAAAACCAGTTTAGTTAGAAATCTGATGCACTTACATCTTCCTAGGAATGCTAAAGGTGCAATGACAATAAACAACAGAATTTAACAGGAACATTGTGTTTATTCATAATACAACTTTTTTGGAAGTGGATGGTAAAGAGCAGTGCTCATGCTGCTACTCGACATGTTTTTATGTATGGAATAACACTTGCTCATTTAATTTTCAAAAATAATTAATGGAAGATTCTGGTGTACTTCACATGAAAGCTGTAACTGAAGGAAACACCAAGAAAATCCTCTTCCTCTCTCGGTAGTGGGAGAAACAAAACACAGGATCCTCGTTGAGAAGCCGGAGACGTGTACAAGTACAGCAGGCGACGCTTCAGCCCGCTCGCTCCCTCTTTCTCCAGGCACAACACACGCAGACACCGCGGCGAACTCCAGTCCCGCTCCCTCTCTCCGTTTGACACCCGGAGGCCGCGTGAGAAAGTCCCCGCAGAACTCCTGGTGGGGGAAAGCGCCACGCTCTCACGGGTGCTGCCCCTCCCGGCACCGCCTCCGCGCTCTCCCAACTTTCATTCATTGTTGGCGTAGCCGCCGGCCCCCCCCCCCCCACCCCCAGCTCTCCGGGCCGGGTCGGGCCGGGGCGGGCGGCAGCGCAGCCAGTGAGCGCGGCGCGGGGGGCTGCGGGCGGGGCCGGGGAGGCGCGGCCCCACCGCCCCTATATAGGGCGGCGCGTGGGGCGCTCCCGGCTCCGTGGGAGCGGGGCGAGAGGCGCCGCGCCGGGCGAGGCGGAGCGGAGCGGCGGTTCGGCGCTGACGGCCGCTCCCCGTAGCACTTTCCGCGGGCAGCGGCGGTGGGCACCTTGCTGCTGGGAGGAGAGCCAGCCTGCGGGCGGCGGTGCCATCCTATTGTTCAAGGGGGCGAGTGAAGGAGCCGGCGTGTCGCCTTCCTTCTCCGGCTTCTCTCCGCTGCAGGAGGAGCGCCGCCGCCGGGTTGTTGTTCGGCACCGGCGGCTCAGGTGCGGCGGCGGAGCGGGCGCGGAGCTTTCCTGAGGCGTTGCGCCTCGTCGGGCTCCGAGAGAGAAGGAAAGTTGCTGCCTTTCCTGCGGCGAGCCCGGGAGCTGCCGAACCGGCCTCACCTGGAAGGACTGAGCGGCCGCCACCTCTCCCATCAGGTCCCTCCGCCGCAGCGGCGGTATCCGGGAGACCGCGAGGAGCGGAGCCGGGCGCGCAGCTCACCGCGCTCCGCGATCACGGGAGGATCTATAGCTGTGATCTGTCACCGCAGAGAAGGAGGTGGTGGATGAACTCCCTTCCAGCAGGGCAACGAATCACTTCTCGAGCTGCTTATTATTATCGGCCTCTAGGACCAGCCCTTTCCTGCTAAACTTGGCTTGGGAGCTTCCAGCAGGAGGGGGCGCGGGGGGTTGAAAGCCGAACCCCGAGCCCAACATCATCTCGTGTGTTTGACTTTCTTTTTTCTATTTTCTTTCTTTCTTTTTTTTTTTTTAAATCTCCCCTCCCTCTTCCTTCCGTGAGACAGTTTGATGAATGCCTGCCAGTGGGGGATGATTTGCTGAGCCCCGCGGCAGGGCTGTGTGTGTGCGGTGCAGCCCCACCGCCGCCCCCGGGGGCTGCGAGCGGCCCGCGGCGGGGACACGCGTGGGAGCGGACGCCGCGCCAGGAGGAAGCCGGGGGGGGGGAGTCACGGCCGGGAGAGGAGCACACGAAGGAGCCGGCGCCGCTGAAGCCGAGAGCCGAGTGCCGCTCGTCCCCGCCATCCGACGGGTTACGGAGGGAGGGCCCTGCCTGGCCCCCTCCCCGCCAAGTTGCCTTCAGCCGCGGATCGCTGCCACCCGCCGCACTTTGCCGGGCTTGTTTGCTCGTCTCGGCTCCGGATAGAGAGGACTTCGCTTTCTCCGCACCCTGAAAGTTGCCCGAGCGCTCCCCGCGGCGAGGTGGAGGAGGAGGGCGGTGCGCCCCGCGCCTCCCCGGGCCCGAGGCCGGCGGGCCCCGGCCGGGCGCAGCGGGCGACGATGATGTGCGCCTGGGGGAGGCTCCCCCTGGCCCTGGGGCTGCTGCTGATGCTGTCTGGCGAGGCGGCGCCGCAGCCGTGCCCGGCGCAGTGCTCCTGCTCAGGGAGCACGGTGGACTGTCACGGGCTGGCGCTGCGCGGCGTCCCGAGGAACATCCCCCGCAACACTGAGCGGCTGTAAGTACCCCGAGCCGGCGGGCTTGCGGCGTCCGCGAGACAGAGGTGGCCCCGGGGGTCCCGCCGCCCTCCATGTGTGTGTATATAGCGAGGGGGTGGCGGTTCCGTCCCCTTCCTTTTCTGCCCGTTTCCTCTGTGGTGCTCGGAGTCCCGCGGCAGACGCCCATTAGCGCCCGCCGCCCACCGCGGAACTCCGCGCTGCCGTTCGCTGCCGGCGTTGGTGCTGTAGCCCCTTCCCCAGCAGCACAGAGCGAAGTTGCGCCTGAACTGCGGCCTTCCCCCCTCCACCCCAACCTCTTTTTGAGGGCATTCGAGTGCCCTCCGCTGAGAGTGCTTTCCAGTCGTGGAAGAGCAAGCGTGTGGTCGACCCTCTCCTGTTATTTCGGAGGGGTCTAAGGGAGTGGAAGAGATGAGCACATTATTATTATTATTATTATTATTATTATTAACCTCTAATAACTCATCTAAACGTTGGGCTATGAACACATGTCTCAAGTGATGCATTTCACTCCGAATGTCAGGGACTCTGATTTCTGTTGAGACTTGTGTGGTTTCTTCGCAGTGGTGTTTCGGCCCCATGTGGTACAAACACCAAAAACAGTGACTTCTCTTTCTGAACGCGTTGGGAATGAGCTGTAATTGTCAGTGTAGTTTCCATGTAATACCACTTCCTAATGGCTTACCTCAGGAATTGCAAAGTCTGGTTTTATTTGCAGTGACTGGAATGGAGGGAAGCCTATATCTTGATCTAAAATGTTATTTAAATAAAAAGAGGAAAAAAGGGGACAAACAACTCCAGAAAAGAAAGAAGTGCTGGCATACAAGCAGAGATGTCAGGGCCTTAATCCAGTTTTCCATCGCTTCTGACCATGCGTTGTGTTCTGCAGTCAGTATCGTTTCCTGTGCCACATGTGAAGCGTTCAGTTTTTGTAAAATGCTGTTACCAAGTATTTACTCTACAACTGTACGACTGCTTCAAAAGCTAATGTTTGCTGCAGCAAGTGAAGCTCTCTTCTGCCTATGTAGAAATAGTGTGAAAGCTGGAAGTTGTTTAAAATGTAGAAGATTGTCCTGTTTTCAGTCATTTGTTTGATTTTGTGATTGTCAGCCTATAACCTTAACAGATATTGTCATGTCCATAAAGGAGCTTTACTGGTTTTCTAGCTGCAATTCTAACAGAGCAGATCTGACCTGCTCAGACAGGCTTAGGCTGTTCATTATTGCTAAAGATAAATGTGAGCAGTATAACGGTAGGAAGAACTCACTTTGTGAGGGTCTCTGATTACAAAGTTTGAAACTACCACTGTGCAGATAAACTCTCTTTCGGTCACTTGAAGTCTGGAGCTCACACAGTGTTGCAGGAATGGCTCATTAGTATTGCTCACAATTACTAATTTAAAAAACAAAACAAACAAACAAACAAAAAAAAAACCAAAAAAAAAAAAAAACTTGCCCATAAAAACAAAGTAATTTAAAGAGGGGAAAAAAAATCAGAACTTCTGAATGTTTTAATTTTGCTGCTTATGAATTATTCTTCTCAGGGACCTTAATGGAAATAACATCACCAGAATCACCAAGACTGACTTTGCTGGTCTAAGGCACCTTCGAGTTCTGTAAGTTCTCTCTTTCTATAGCTGATACTTCTTGGACTGATGCTACGTACATCTCATGTTTTAAAAACTGTTAAGCTAGTTGTCCTCTGGTTTATCCATCACTTTGCAACTATTGTGCTACTGCTTCTGAATTTACAGCCCCTCCCCCATGTCATAAACTGGTAGAAATAAGTTAGCAAATGCCTTAAATGTCATCTTGGTTATCATTCTTTAAATTTCTTCTTAAGGATGTAACGTGAATGAAGTTTTAATTTTTCTTGTAACTTGAAAGAGAGAGCTTAAATTTAGCAAATTTATAGTTCATGTTGAAAATGGATACGCTGAAGTATAGGCAATTAATTAAAGAGGAAAAAGTTATTCCTCCACTCAGTATAAAAGCAAGTCTCAGGCAATGATTATTGCTTTTCTGAAGTTTCTGGGTAAAAAGAATAAATTTTAACAGTGAATTTGACCAGGGAATATTTGGAATTGGTTCTGTAAATCCTCCTGCAAGCATTATGAAGCTTTTCCAGGACTGGGTTTGGGGGAAGGTAGGGTAACTGAGAGCAAGTTTAAAATACTGTACGATTAGCTTATTTGTTAAGGCTGTTTTATTTGAGCAAGTAGTCAAAGCCTTTTTTTTCTTCTTAAACACTGCAGTAATTCTTCATTTTTGTTAAATTACTATTATGGTGACAATTCACTGATTTTTTTTTTTTTTTTTTTTTAATTTTTTTTCTGCATGCCACAGTTTGTATTTTTGTGGTGTTCTTGTATGAGACTCATTTTACTTTTATACTGTTCAACTGGGGTCTTAAAGTTTACTGGAGAGGATTGATATACATGCACAGCATGTATGTTTCAACATCATTTTAATGAGGGTTATTTTTTTTTTTTATTTATTTTATTTTTTTCCTTTATGAGCCCATGCGAAGTGTGGGGTGATAACAGTCAAAAATGTTGTGTTGGTTGTCACTCTAGAATAACTGTAACAGCATTTTAATGAAGATAGGGCTGTCTGTAAATGACTGCTGTTAATGCAACAAGTGGTCTTGGAGCTGTTAAAACTTATGTACAAAAATTTCTCCATTTCAGTCAGCTCATGGAGAACAAGATTAGCACTATTGAGAGAGGAGCATTCCAGGATTTAAAAGAACTGGAGAGGCTGTAAGTATTTCTAATCCTAAATGTATCAGAAAATAATTTCTTGCCAAATTCTCTTGTTAAAGCAACATGTTTAAACTTGGGATATCCTTATTGAGACACAGAAGGAGTAAGAAATTCTCAATTTGTATGGATGTTGAGGGGAGAGCTTGATAGAGCAGTCCAGATTTGAGGTGTAAACTTCAATATCTTACTGAAAATATCTTGAATGTTGTTAATGTATTTGCGTTCTAAAGAGTGTCCATGGGTACGCAGCTCCAACAGGCTATTTTTTGGGTATTGGGTGTTTTATATGATGTCTTGTTGGAAATTACTGCTTGTTGTGAAGAGTCATCTTGATAACGCAGCAATAGCTGAATTTAATGCCAGTTCTTGCATAAAGCTTTTATGAAGACTTAAGAAAAAATATGAGCTAACTTTCTGAAATTCTGAATTGATCTTGACTTTTAAAGGTAAATAAATAAAAATGCATGCTGCAGGGTAGAGAAAATTTTGTCCAGTAAAGCTGAAATGTGGACATTGGCTCTTTTCTTTTTTTTTTTCTTTTCTTTCTTTCTTTTTTTTTTTTTTTTTGTGGCAGGATGTAAATAGAATATGAGTAAGAGGGTAGAAGAGAAGCTGGACAGGTTTGGGAATTAATTTTCTGTGTATACTTGCTGTATTTTCTCAAATGAAAACATTGTTTAAAATGCATTGTACAACTTCTCGTACAAAATGGATCTCATTAAAGTCCAGATGCTGACAGTTGAGTATAGTTTGAGCTTGGAGCTAGGAAACCCTGAGAAAGCAACTTTATTAATGTATGTTCGTGTAGAACTATAGGGCTTTCATTATCAGGCATCTTAGTTGTGCTGCATTTTCATTATATCGTGCTTTTTATGCATGCCTCTGGGATCTTGTTTTCACTTGCATTCACTGGTGCCTTAACTTCAGAGCAATATCTCTCCTGCACTGCAAAGCAGCACTGGCTTAAACATTTTCTTACAACATCTATGCTCTGGATCTGTGCTTAAGACAAAAACACCCAGCCATTATTTCTTGTAAATATAGACAAAGCTTTTCAAGAAACTTAATAATGGCTAATTTATAATTCTTTTATCTGAAATATCATGGACTTGAAATAATTGTCTTTTTTTGTTTTTTTTTTTCTTCAAATAAAATAACCTTTTGACCTCAAAATTGGAAGTGTCACTGTGTATTATAGCATTTTTTGAATAATTTTAACTTGGATTGCTCTGAGAATTGTGTAGTCAGATTACTCGAAGTCATATTAAAAGACTTGATGCAACATTTTTTACAATGTGTTTTAAACTTTATACTAAAGTTTACGGACTCAGTGTAGCTTTTCCTGTTGAGGAATATATTGGAATAATATGTACACATTCCTAAATTTGGTTTATGGGATGTAACAAGAAATTAAACAGTACTGTAGTTTGTATTCCAAGAGTAAGAACATGTAGATGAAACATCAATAAACGTTAAAGAAAGTGCACTCTAGCTGTGTGTGACTTGGGATACAAAGTAGTTGTGAAGTTTTAAAACAGTATGTAGCCAACTTCACTTCTTGATTATCTTGAAAGTTCCTGTTACATAATGGCGAATACTTCAATAATAATAAATCTTGAGATTAGCATGTAGGTTAAAATACATTTAGTCGTAAGAATTCTCGTTGAATATGAGGTTGTGATACTAAAAATGGCAAATTGGACTTTAATAGTTCAATAGTTAATACTTGTAAGAAGTGTTCACTTTTACTATTACATCTTTGCTTTTTTCTTCCTGATAAATCAGTATCCAAAGAAATACTTTGGAAGAAATAGTATCACACATCACTGGAACATTTCTAGTTCGGAAGAAACATTCTGATAACTGTAGCTGCTGTTGTAGGTTATTTTATTTACTCTTTAGCAGGAAAACTGACTTAAGGAAGTTCAGTCTATTTTACACCCACGAAGTTAGATTCTGCTTTGTCTTCAGCATTATTTTCTGTCTGCTTCCGTAATTGTCAGAGTATTTTTAAATTTGCTGAAATTCAGTCAGTGTTAGGTGGGTGGGTGACTTGTAATTTGAATAAATACGCAGGATATCTTTAAACTGCCACAGCTGTTGGCTAAGAGCAAATATTTCATATTTGTGAGGAAAAGCTGAGAAATTTCTTCTTGTTTACAACTGCCAAGCCCATCTGACGAAGGACTATTGTTATCTGACAGCCAATTCATCTCCTTGGGATTCTGAAATTCAGGACTATTTCTCAGGGAACTTGTGGGTACTTCAGGTGTTTTCTTTTATACAATAAATAGCAAGTGCTTTAAACTGTGGTGTTTTTTTTTTTTTTTTTAAGATGTAAATGCAGTGTGCTAGGCTTCTGCAAAATAATATTTAATGTAGTTCCTTCAGTGTTGTAATGGAAACATGTAAGAGTTTCAGTGGATCCTAATTATCTTATTCTGGAATATACGGGCTGAATTTGAAAATGTTGTCTGTAGTTCAATACTCTTTAATATGACAAGTAAACCTTTACAGTATTTTCTCTTTGTAGAAAAAAATAAATCTTTACATGAAGTGGTGGTGCTTGCATGTTTCTTAAACTGGAATTTGAGTAACAAAATCACTTCAGTTACTCTGATTTTCAAGGAGATGCTTGGTTGATCAGTAATTTACTCATTGTAAATACCCATTTGAAGATGGCAAATTCAGGACTATTTCAGCAAAATGCTGAATAACTTCAATTCTTAAGTGCTATGGGTCATCCAGTCCTGCTTCATTTTACAAAATTAACTCTCTTTGTGAAGAAACTCAGTTTTCTTTTCAGAAGAAAACTGATTAAAACTACATATACGTCCCTTAGGTAGTTGGAAATGCTTTTCCTGTAGTTTTGTTCAGCTACAAGAGGTCTGTAGCATGCTAGATATAAAACTGTGTATGCGTCACACCAGTGTGATTGCAGAGCTGTAATGGAAACCACAACCACAATAAACACTACTGTAACAGGTGATTGTTACGGCAACAGCACTGCTGTTATTTTCTGTTAGCAATAAATGGTCCTGTAGTAGTGCCTGCTATGTAAAGACTGGGAGAGCGTTCCAGGGGGAAAATCAGCAGCTTAATCTAGGTTTTAGATGTGTGTGGAAAACTGAGTTGCTGGGGAGACCCTAGTGGAGATGAATATGGTTTTACTGTAAGTCTTTTAGTTGGATACCTCTCTGAAAAGTTTTCAGATGTGTGTATGTTGCAGTGTTCCTTTAGGTATAATCCCTGGCAGCATTTTCTGAAGGCTCAGCTCTGAAGGGGTACCAGATTTGGCCCAAACCAACTTGGTGTAATAATGCTTGAGTTCTGAGTTATTAACTGTGCTCTGAACGTAGATGTCTTTACAGCCTGTATCTTGAGTGTTTGAATCGTGTCATCTGTGTTTGGTAGAACAGTCCCCTTTGAACTTGAGTATGTGTAGCTCTGATTTCAATGAATGGGACAGCTTGTACCTCCACTTTCTGAAAACTAACACCTTCATTGGTCGCGGCTTTAAAAATTATTTTTAAAGTTGTTAGCCCCAAGGCCTACACCTTCTGAGGTGTTGTAGCTACTGTCAAAGTATTCCAGTGTTTATACAAGCTATCCTCATCTGGAGTGAAGTATTTGGTTGAGGACAGCTGCTTTAGACTATGAACCAGTTCTGTTATGAGCTGCATGTCTAAAATTTCTTAGTTCTTTGTACTCCAGAATTATAGTTGTCAGTGGTTTAAGGGCTGGTTTGGCCCTGTTCTGTGACAGTGGGGCAGAGAGATTTTGCAAAATCCATGCCTCTGGAAAGGGGAAATGGGAGACCCCAAAATAATTAAAAACAGCAACAGTGATCTGAGGAGAAACAAACTAGTTTACTAAATATACAGAATGCAAGATAACACACTATAATGCAATATAATTAGAATTGATGTTAATAAATCAAATGTAATGAGAGAAAGTGTCCAAAAGTGGATAGGCCTCACCATAACGCTGAGGTGAGATGCAGGAGTCTGACTCTGCAGACGTTGACAATGTGAATAATGTTGTTTGCAAGAGTAGTCCCATTGGTAATTCCCATGTGAGATGTTACCTGTGTGACCTAAAAAGTTTCTAGGCCAAGTCCTTGTACTTTGATTAGAATTTATTTCACAAATGCCCATTTATCATCTTAGCAGTTCTAAAGAGTCACAGTGCCAATATAACACACATGTACAAAAAAAACAACACAAAACAACAGCAAAACTCACCTGCTTCTGCAGAAAACTAGTGTAGAGGTAACATGTTATTCTAAGGTTCTTGAACAACTGCAGTCTCAAGGCTGAGCTCGTGCCCCCTATAAGAAAACCAGCCCCTCTGAGTTTCACGGTGTGAGTCAGCTGAAATCCTGAGTTGTAGAAAAGAATGCTGTAAGGGTTGAACTTCAAGTTGATACTTGAAATAGCTTTTAAACTGAAAGCCATCTATGATGTACATTTTCATGCTTCTTACAATGCATCACTGATGGAGAAAGACTTATTTCATAAATTAAGTACTTTGTTATAGTTCATGAATTTTTTTTTTTTTTTTTAAAAAACCTTGCAATGCAATTTTAAAATAACAGAACTGAGGAATTGCCTGTACTTGTTATTTATTGAGGGCCCCATCTTGACAAAAGCCTTAAAATATGTTATTAAAAGTTAATGTGAAGTGAGCATTAGCTGAGAAGTGTATGCAGGAATATTTAAAAACTATTGAAATTCTCTTCATGATATGAATGATTTGAAACTATATCTTGTCACCAGTAATGATGAGATTGAGGAAACTGTCACCTTCAGCCTTGTGTTGGTTTGATATGTCCTGACAAACTTGCATATGATATTCTTTCTGTTCCTGTGTGGGATCCACTTGGAATAAGCTTAATCATATTCCAATGTTGCCTCCATCATTTCCACTGAAGCTAAGATTCAGCTCTGTAAACAGTTCCCTTGTTATGATCCACTGATTCACATGGCTGAGCTGAC